GGAGGGACAAGACCAGGGGAGACCAGAGTTCAAGGGCTGATTTATTTTTCCACCACAAGCTTCTCCCCAGGCCTTGAAAATGCAGACAATCTACTGAAGCACATACAGCCTTTCAGGCAAGCCCAGGTTTTGCAGTTGTCCTTTTTGCTTCTCTCCATCTCTGGAAAAAAAAGAATAAAAATCTCTAGGGATGATCCCTATTTTGTTTAACCTTTGCTTGCTCCTAACTGATGTAAAGGCTTACTGATGGTAACTAATTCTGCTCCAAGCAAGGAATGGAAAACTTCCCACGAGTTGGACTGGAGATGGAGTAGGACTTTAACAGCCCCAGAAAGGAAGGATGGCAGAAGGCAAGAACTTTCTGAGGGCTCCATACAGCAGTCCAGACCTTGGATCTTGTGCTTGCAGGCACTAGTTCCCTTTGAATGTTATTTGCTGCCAGGTCAAGAGAAGGGCTGGAAGCTGGACACTATGAAGAGGACTGTCTCCATCCCACTGGCCCTGGTTTTGTGATTATTTTTCCTGCTAGCTCTGATGAATTGCAGTTTTGTTAAGCTTTTTTTTCCTCTGTGTGGACTTGCCTGCCTCTGTGCATGATTGTTTAAAAAAAAAAAGGAAAGAAAACAACAGCCACAAAAGAAAGATGTTTTGCCAGGTCTCAGCCATGAGATTAAACTGGAGTTTTTATAAAAACAGATCTGTGCCCTAGTGATGTTGGGGAACATTTAAATTTTTTCTGGATTTGGTATATGAGTACAGTGGAAATGCTTTTGTTGTCCTCTGACACAGAGTTTGAGCCCCTCTTTTGTTCTGTGAGTGGCCAGGGCACTGATCTGTGTTTGTGTGGGCTTTGATGGTGGGGACTGGAGGTTAGGCCCTGACCACACACTTTTCTGATTGCAGGATATGGGAGCTGCAGAGCAACTGCAGCTCTGAAAATGAAGTGGGGGCTTGGAGAGTTCTGTGGAATTGCTGTTATCTGAAATGCTTTAATATTTTCAAGGGTAAAATAATCTTTCCTCTTACCATTGCTAGTTCTACCAGGCTGAAGTTTCAGTGATGTGCAGCAATGTCCTCCTATTTAGCACAATGCAGAATTCTGCCTTGCCTGTGATATTGCAGAGCAATGCAGAGTACAACATGAAAAAACTTTGTACTCCCAGTTCTTGTGCAGCAGAAGCCAGGCTGGAACAGGAGAAGTTACTATGAAGGCTGCTGGTGCATCATGTATGCACTTCTGTTGATTTGTAAAGGACAAGCAAGAACTTAACAAATTATTAATTTAGTTCCTTGGCTCTCATTGAGCCAATCTCTGATCTGCAGCATGGAAGTGAATTTTGTTATTATGTGTCCCTTATTCCATCCTGGGGTCAAAGAGAGGGGAAAAAAGGAGTGTTTTGTGCTTTTAGCCTCAGTGGATGTGTCTGCAGTGCAGTTTGATCACTGTTCTCCCTAAAAGGCAGATGAATCATCAGGTTAAATGAAATATTTTTTTTCCTACTCAGCAGCTGAACTCAGGGCTTGACTCCCTTTCCTACCTCCTTCATGACTTCAGTTTCCCTTTAGGAAAATGCCTGGGTTGTGCTTCCTGCTTACCATGGCAACTGGCATACAAATTGAGAGAGAAAACCATGTTTGTTGAACTCTGGAATTGTTGTTAGCCAGAGCCAATTATGAGTGCTGTATGAGAACCAGTATTTTCCCATTCTTTGTGCCACAGTCTTGCAATGACTTGGCCATAAGGCAAGGGGAGAACCTCAGACTGCCCCACAGCATTCCCATGGTTATAAAAATTAGAAATTAGGCCAAAGGGACACTGCAGACCTGCTCCTGCTGCACTGGCACTGTGCCCTAAATCAGGGTGCTTGAACACATGGCAGTGCTTGAACACTTTCAGCCAGTTTCTTTTGCCTGCCTGACTCAGGGCAGTACCCTCTGTAGGTTGTATTGGAAGCCACAGCTATAACATTTTGGATACTTTCAGCTAAGCCAAAACCAGGATTAAGCAAGTTCCCAACCTGGCTGTTAACGAGGAATCAACCTTAGCCAGCACCAAGGAGCATTTGACACTGGTGTCTCATACATCCCCAGTGCAACCCAGGAGTCCAGCAGCTCTGGGCAGCAGGACATCCCACTGGAATCCCACTGGTATCTCACTGGAATCTCACTGGAATCCCACTGGATGGGGGTGAAGGTCAGCTGGCAGCAAAGGGAAGGGAAGGGAGACTGGCACAAGGCACCATCACCAACAAAAAGAACAGAATCGTAACAGCCAAGAATAGAGAAATGAACTCAGATTTCTGAGTTCATTTTGCATCTGGACAGGGTAAATTATTCAAAGAACGTGCCTCACCACAAGGGTAAAGGATGAACAGTTTCAGTATTAAGGAATAGAAATGAATGGGATCTGCAAAGCTCAGATCTGCCCAAGTCCTGATGCCCTCAGAAGTTAGACACAGTGTGAGTGTTAAAACTTGAATGTTTGCCTTATTCCATAATTAAACATATTTTTGTATGTCTTTTTAGCAAACTGCAGTGTGAGATGAGCTGCATTTTGCAAACCTAGACAACTCCTAGAAATTATGTTTGCAATTTGGGTCCAGATCCATCTTTAAATGGGACCTGTTTTCTTCCATAGCACATCTGCTGCAGAGGGTACATTTCTCTGTCATTTAAATTCCTTATCTGAAAAGACCAGGAATTATTTGAATTCAGTGAGAGGAAATGACTTCAAAAAAAACTTTCTAGCTGCTTAAGAAAGAACCACAAGGCACACAAACATGGGAACAACCAGAACTGGAAAAAGGAGAATAACACACATGATTATTCAACTGAGGAAGTTTCTAGATAAGTAAAATCCAAAAAGGAAAAAAAAAACCCAACACCCAACAGCCATGAGATTAGGTTGAACCAGTCTGAAGAATATCAGGTAACATTTTATTTTCCTCTTCCTTCATAGGGAAGAAGAAATCAGAAAAAATAGTGCTCACATGCTGCTTTTTTTTTTTTTTTTTTTTTTTTCACTGTGAGATAATTTACTTTAAATATCAAGGATCAGACAGTATAAAAGGACTAGGCTGGTTATTTACAGGGTGAATTGGATTCACAGTCTCAGCCTCTGTGCCAGCCACAGTACCCTGCTAAAGGTGAGCATTGCTTTGGGAAAAACAGGGAAGTCCTGCATTGGCTCACAGTGAGCCGTGGGTAGCCAGAGCAGCTCACTGCTCATCCCTTGTCTCTCTTGCAGGGTTTATCTCAACTGGTGATCGTGCAAGAATTGCACATGACCTTGCCCGTGATGTAATTTCACCTCAGAAGCAGGGCAGAAACGCCCTCACCTTTTTTCCTGTTGAGGATCAGCCCTCAGCAGTTACAACCCGCTCCTCCCAAAGCAGGATCTCCGAAAGATGCCTGAGATGGCAGGAGCGCTCTTGCAGGAGGTTCCCAGCATACCACACGTGGCAGGGGATTTCCCAGTTGCCAAGGAGGGCAGGGCTGCCAAGGGTTGGGAGGAGGAGGATTCATTTAGGAGCTAGTTTTAGGTCATTGGTCCCAATAAACATTTGCTTGGCTTGAGTCCCTGTTGTGAGGAATGTGAAAAACTGAGATGCCAGGGCAGTGAGTGGGAAAGGGAATAAATCATCCAGGTCACAAGGTACAGAACGCCACTGTCAGCCTGGTTCCTAGCTTTCCCAGCGAGGTGGGTAGCCAGATGTAAGTATGGCACATAATGGCCATTTTATGTTATACATGAACCAGCAAAGTAAGTGAAAATGGGGCCTGAAAGGTTCTGTGCAAAGAGGTCTCATGCAGAAAAAGTGAGGGGAAAGGAGGAAAGGGCAGGGAAACTTGGAAAAATGGGGGTTGAAGCACAAAGTACACAAAGGCAGCCCCACAATGCCTCATTGCCTGAAGCAACAGACACCTTCAGTGCTGCCAGCAACAAACATTTACCAGTGTGAAAAACACCAGGTTACATTTCTGTGTGTGTGGGAGAGCAGCATTTGAGATTCTCTTTGGATTGGAGGACACAGCACTCCATCAGCTATGAACAGAGGGCGCTTCTCAATGAGACTCTTGATTTCTCAGAGCTGGGAGTATTGCAGTAAGTTAATAATCTAAAAATACATTTGGTAGCTCCATGAGAGAATTTAAGTGTGCTTTTATTGCCACGAGAGAACTGTGAATATTCACACCTATAGAGAATGAATACACAGAGCAAATCTGCAAACAAACCAAATGACTTTCACCTGCAGCATTTTTTCCCTTCATCCTGTGTTGGCAGGATGTCTTAGTGCAGCAGTTCTCATGCACACATGCATTCTGCCTGCTCTGAAGCCCACATACACCCATGCCTTCAGGAAGCAATCCAAACAGCTGAGAATGACCAGGGTTTTTTCACAAGTCTCAGCTGACACCTAAGCCTGGTCACAACAATTCCTGTCACAGACTCCATCCCTTCCTCACCCTTTCCCTGGGACATCAGGTAATTTCAGAGGCTGGAATAAACCTTCAGAATCACAGATTTTTCTGATTTTTCAGCAGGATTTTTCATGACCCTGATCAACATCATTCTGTCATCAGTCCAATCGTCTCCTTCCCCCTTAGTTCAGGCAGATAAACCTGGGGTTTTCTGGATGCACTGTGGCATGTTTGGCATTCTGCACAGATCCACCATTGCCTGGTTTACTTGGTCACAGCTTTTATTTTTTAGTACACAAATCATCAAGTGCAATGGGAGGGAAAGCTTAAGAAGCAGAAAACAAATTTGAAGAACCCAAACTGAATTGACTTGAGCTGCCATTTATGTAATAGGTCAATGGTATCATTTGCAACTGGTTGGAGCAGTTAATACTGCAACAGTCTATTTAAAGTATTGCTAGTTTCTCTTCTCCTTCAAAATCCTGCAGCATTTTCCTCTATACTAAATGCAATGCTGTAATCATACCACACTTAGATGGAGCAAAAGACCAGAGGAGGAAAATAATATTTGATCTTACCAGCTTCTGTGGTCCTACAGTTTTCTCCAGGCAGAATGTCCAGTGCCATCCACGCTCAGAAGGCCTTGCTGGCCTCTGGAAGGTCCCAGAGCCAGTTGTTTCACCCATTTGCAGAGCTGCTTGAGTTTCAGGAAAAAACTCAAGCAAGAGGCCCTTATGCAGGCGGGCACCTATCCACGACCAAGGGTTATTCGAGGCATTTGGCTGAGCGAGGACAGAGTCTCTGTGCCTGCTGCGTCCTTCCTGCTCCATTTTTCTCCTCTCTGCTGTTGCAGTTGGCAGGAATTTGCAGTTTCTGGCCAGTAGCAGAGAACCCAGTCTTTGCCATTGCTCCCTGACTTTGGCAGATGCTGATTCTCTTTAGATTTCTTTACATTTAGGTTTTACTGTAGCTTTCAGCAGGATAAACATAAAAACACCCAACTCTGCTGATGTCTTGTGAAGGCTGACCTAGAACAGAGGCTAGATGGAGTTAAAGAATAAAGTAGGTGTTTATTAAAAGGCCTCAATGGATGCACATAGGGCAGTACAAGAGCCCAGCCAGCACTACACCCAAGATGAACCTAAAATAGTCACAAAAATGGATGATCAGTCACGGGGTCTCTCACTTTTATAAGTTCTGATCCATTTGCATATTGGAGTTAATTGTCCAACTATAGTTTTAGGTTATAAGTCCCATCTTCTTTTTCTCTCTTCAGTCCACTGTTGTTTATGCTCTTGGGCCTGAAATTTGGGTCGGTTGTTCTCGGTCCCAAGCTGGAAAAGGAATTATTTCGTCTACCTACTCTGTGAAGAGATCTTACTGTCCCTTAATATGGAGTTCAGAACTGCTACACACTAAAGCAGTACAGAATCAGAAAAATATGAAAGCTAAAACCTAAGGCATCCTTACCACCAAACCTCCCCCTCACCCCCTCGAAAACCACACCTTAACCACTGACATACATGATCTGCATGGTCAATCCATGACTCAAGTCTCACAACAAACGTGCTGAAGACTAATTTCCTTGTGGAATTTCTCAGAGTCCAGGGTCTCCAAGACAGTCACCACACCACTGAACCAGGGGAGTGGCTGGTCCGTGAGGATTGTCAGCTCTGAAGGCACAGTCATACAGAAAGCTCCTTCTGTGTTGCAAGGACCCAATCTTTCTTCCTCATCTCTTCACCCTTATATGTGCCTCCTCCTCTTCCTCATCACTCTGGCAAGGAATTATTTGGCTGCTGAGTTTCTGCTGTTGCAGGGTGTTACAGCCTGTCATTGCCCTGTCCAACATGTCCCAGACACAGACCTTCATTGTTTTCCCTTCCCAAAGACACAATCTTGAACAAGAGAAAAAATTCACTTCCATTTCTTTTTAATTAGTATTTTGGTGAATATACAAAAACAAAGAATCAAGGCAGATGGCAAGCATCAGGACATGAACCAGTACATCTGTGGAAGAGGCTTCACCTTAAAACACTCTACAGAGGAGCACAATTCTCACAATACATTAACTACTGAAGCATTCACTAGGAAAGACACCAGCTCAGTCTGGGCCAAAGTAAACAGCCTTTATTCAACTGAGTGGAAACAGCAAGTGCTGATGCAAGGACTGGGTTTGGTTCAGTTAGCTCCTTGCTTGCATTTTTTCTCAAGAGTTACTCACTGCCATTATTTGCCATTTGTCCTACCTGATCCAGGGATGTGGAAGGGGAATGACACAGGGAGTGTGACCATTTACACACAGGTAGCTAAAGCAAGAAGCACAATAAACCAGGAGCATGGAACAGCCACATTTGCAAAGGCAACTACAGCAGAGAACCCCCTGTGTTCTGCACAAATTCTGGCCCGTAGATGTATGAAATCTTGTGCAAAATAGAGAACAGCTTTTTTGAAGGAGCTGCTTGTTAGCAGGTGGAGCTTTTCCTGGACTGGCACTTCAGAAGGTAGGAGCACATGCAGTAGTTTCGTCAGTGGCAGGAGGTAGGCTTGCATATAGGCAGCATAGTGCTGAGGAGTGAGCTAGCCTTTTCTTGGGCTTGACTAGCAACAGACTGTCTATCTGTGATGTTTTTATTGCTGACACACTTAAATGCTCACAGAATTTGCCTTATTCTAAGGCAAGGGTGACAGAGACCAGCAAGAGAAGTTGATCAGTAGAATATAACAGAGAGATCTGCAGTTTTTCCCTTGCAGCATCTGTCCTTATTGGTCACAGGAGGTTACAGTTTTGCTCCCATACCCCTTGCTGGAGTGTTATAATTTACATTCAAACTAATTTTAGAGAGACATTTTTCTGGACCAAGTGTAAATGGACATTTTCTTTTCTGATGTCATCAGAGAACAAAGCAGATCACTTTCTCTCCTCATCTTATGCTCCAGGATTTCTTGCACAGTGAAAGAAGGATTGTGCTTCAGGCAGGAGGCATTAAGACTGCAGAACAAGGGGCAAAGGCAGGGACAAGAAGATTCTTTCCTGCAGAAGTCGTCACTTCTTTGAGTTTTTGGAGGGGCAAAAGTATATGCAGAAGAGGTAGTGGGAAAACTTCAAATCCTCCACGGCCTGAGGAGAATGGAGTGGGAGACAAACAAATGTAGTTTCACATGGCTCTTCAGGACAGCACTGAGGACAGCAGGCCTTCAGTATTCAATTCCACTCCAGTAGAACATGGTGCCGAGGAGGACGCAGAACTGAAATGACAACACTGTTAAGTTTCTCTGCCCCCCATTTCCTGCTCTCTACCCCTCCCCCAGCCCCATTTAGTCCTACTGGTAGGAGAGAGTAAAAGAAATTCTTGAAAATCAAAGCCTGTTCAGGCAGAGGATCTTAAAAGTTTTTTGTCTGCACAGAAGCTACACAGTAAAGAAAGAAGATACTTGCAGCTGTAACTATTTGGCTATCACTCTGCTCACTGGGGATTGCCATGAAGCTGCTGAAGCCTGAGTACTGATACATTCATACAAAATCTTCAAACTACTAGCTCAATTATCTTTATTGTCTTGATGATCCAATACCCTTCACAAAGAAGCATCTGCAAGCTGTGTTTCCTGTGTTGTGTTGCTGAGATGGCAGCAGGTAGCAGCAGGCCATAGCAGGCTGGAAGGCCATCTAATTCCCCGCCTCTGGAAGCCAGAGTGGAGGGGAACTTGTAAATGTAGCCCTTGTGGAGCAGGCTACAGGCAGATTTGTGATGAATGAATGACGATAATCTATGGACATTTTAAATGCGTCAGTGCTGTCATCCACCTCCACCCAACTGGGTGTGGAATGGCAAGAGAAGAGAAGAGGAAATAAAGGCAAATATTAAGTACTTACAGTCCAGCAGAGGATGGCAAAGCCAAACCAGGCAACACCCCAGGCATGGGCATTCACTGGCCCAGACATAGCATCGTAACAACCCTGAAAGACAGCAGGGATGACTCAACACCAGCCATGAGCCTGCACTGCAAGGTGACAAACGCATCCACCCCCGAGAGAGGCTGAGGTGCCATGGTGGCATGCTCCTCTCCTGCTGCGATTTGGGTAGCTCAGAGGGTCTCAAAAACCAAGCCAAAGCTACACTGCTTATTGACAACTTGCAGATAACCCACCTGTTTCTGGCTCCAAATACAAAGTAGACCCATCTCACACACTTCAAGGACAACTTGATGTGCCATCACTTGCCAAGTACACTTAGATAACCAAACACAGCTGACACAGAATTGACCTCCAGAATCAAGAAGCGTCAAGAAAATTTGAAAGCTTGAATGCCTTCTAGAAATGCAAGCTAGTGCAGAAGCTGATGCTCATGACTCAGCAGCCTAGTGAATAGGACATGATGGTCTACTGAAAAGTTGTTCCTTGAGGAAGAGAACTGCTGATTTGCCTACTCATATTGTATACTCTCATCTTTAGGCTAAGTTTGATTTAGCTACTGTCCATCTACATGTTAGAGATGTCAATTCTTACTAGTGGCTTGGGAGATTTTTCTCTCCATCAGGAAAGACATTATCCTAAAAAAAATTCCTGTCCTGTTCAGCAACATGGGCAAGACTCTACAGGCATTTCTTCTCCTCCAGAAAGCTTCTGAACACCTGTAGCTTGCTGTGAAGGCGAAACGTTTCTTTCCCTTCCAGCAAGGCACTGATGTACGCTAAGAGGAAAAAGCAGAGATGATCTTACATTGCTGTTGTAGTAGCCAGACACTCCGAGTTTGCAGCCATCGAGGTTGACAGGGAGCCCTTTTGCATCCAGCACGCAGCACACCCGTGGCCAGGGGTAGTCGGCGTCGCTGTGCGTGCTGCGGAAGGCAGACGTGTAGTTCTGCCAGTCGGAGGGGCCGTTCACCCCACAGCAGTGGTTCTGCAGGGACACACAAGGGAAAGGTCTCTGTGGGCGCAGGGCACAGCCCTGCACGTGTCAGCACACTGGTTAGGCATTAATCACAGATTTATGGGGGAGATTTCTGAAGTGCCTGCCTTTGACAGTCGGCCGTCTGATAAACGAGCTAAAGGGGGAGTGTGCCAGAACTTTCTTTAAGGTTCAAGGCAGATGCCATCCTCTTTATTATCCAGCAGCCCCAAGGAGGATTGAAATTCCAGGCTTGCAGAGCATTTAGTAATTAGTGACTTTTCAGTGTTTTTACCTGACGCATGAGTTCATCCCATGTCTTTGTGACATCATCATCACTGTTATTGTTTGGCTCTGACTTCTGATATCTCTCCAGCATTTGCTTCAGGAAGACATTTGGAGTCAGCTACAAAAAAAAAACAACAACAGAGAAAAATGCAGAAACTATGTAAATAAGTGGCCATTTAAAGCAAATCCAAGGTTATTTGGGGAGGGTTTGTTTTCTTGTTTCAGAGTCCTGCTGGAGAGCAGGAATGTTGCTTTCCCTCTGGTTTTACACATGAGAATAAAGAGCAGGATTTGAGGAGCAGCAGCAGCAAAGATGAAGATCTCAAGCAGGCACTACTAGATGTATATCTCAAGAGCTGTGCAGAAGCTATGGATTGCATTTGGTATGTTGGAACTAAAGCCCCACAGATAATTTCCCTCCCCACAGTATCTCCAATAATCCATGTAATCTTTCCCTCACCAGTAACACTGCCTGGGGCAAAGCTAAAGATTTTCTTCTCTGTGTATGATAGATTAATCAGTGGGTAGCTGAAAGACTAAACAATCTATTGATGATCCAACTAACCCACACTATTATTTCCTCAACCACAAGGTGTTAAACATTTTAAAATGTTAAAAATAACAAAACTATGTTCGAAACAACAAAGCTATTTCTTTGATTAGAATAATGATGTTGGAGTTTTTTCTTGTGGGATTGTCTTCTGCTCAGCAGTAGTCCTGTGAGTTTACACTGTATTATCATATTTACTGCACTGAACAGGGTGACAGTGTGCCCTAGAACTTGTGTTTCTCAGCAAAGTTAAAAGAATACATGAGAAAAGAAATACTCACTGAGTCTTGGTTGGTTGCTGCTGTGA